TCTCCATGACTGGAGCCCATGGAGATTTTTAGACTAGTTGACTCACTGGGTCCTGCCTAAGACCTAAGAAACTGGTAGAGTTTCCTAAGAAATGAAGAGTGAAAATCATCAGTGCCATGGCAATTCTCTTTGAAGAAAAGATCATAGGTCCTCATAGGTTATTCAAAAACCTTGCAAACTATACATTCAAAGGATGAGACCATTTCAACTGGGAAGTAAGGAGGTACTAGAATGCATGTGCATCAGGACTCAGAGAAAGAGAAGATGAATGTGGTCTGGGAAGAGTGGAAACAGTTACACATAAGGGATAGGACTTGAGCTGGGGCAATGGAAGGTGAAACGGAGTATATTCATGAAGACAGCACGGCTTGGAAAAAGGCATGGCAGCTGGAGAAAGTGAGGCTGAGAAACAAACAACAAACAAGCAAATCTGCTAGGTTAGGAAACAGAATCTACTGGCGACAGTGAGGGAAAAAGACATTTATTACAGGTTGAGCTTCCTATATCCAAAAATCTGAACTGTTCCACCATCTGAAATGTTTCTAAATGCCCACGTGGTACACAAAGAAAAGTCTCACTGGAGCATTTTGCATTTCGGCTTTCTGGATTTGGGATGCTCAACTGGTAAGTATAATGCAGTTTCGTTTCAAAATCAGAAACAAAAATCCCACGTCTGAAACACTTCTGGTCCTAAGCATTTTTGGATAAGGGGTATTCAATCTGAACTTTTTTAGGTTTTTATGGCCTATCAGTGTTTCCCAAAAATATCTGGTAAGTTTTCTCAGATACGATGTTACTCACAATATTAATCACTTTGTATTTTACCGTTTTCTGCTTTCTCAAACTTTTCTCAAAGTGAAGCAAGTGTTTTAAACAGAAACCAAAAACTCTGTAAGCTAGGAAGCCCATAACGGGAGAAAGTGTTTTTGTAGAATAGAATTCCGGGGTAAGGCTGGCAGTTTCTGATAAGAAAAGTGTCAGGGAAGAAAACATAAGGAAAAATGCAAAGCAACGATCCTAGAAAACAAATAAAAATAAAACATTGACTATTCAAATCCTTTCTCCTTTTGAAAAATTAAAGGCTAAACAAAGACAGTTTCCTAGAGATGGATTTATTTGGAGAAGAAGAAAAGCAAGATAGTCTGTGACCAAGATTCTCAGGGCTAAGACTATTTGAATGTAATTATAGAATGGTATGGGAAAGAAGGAGGCACTTTGAGGCCAGAACAGAAAGCCTTCTAATCTCAGCTGTCACCTGGCTCCACCCTAGCAAGTCACCACTTGATAAGTTTTAGACAAAACAGAATTAAAACTAAGTGAGCCAGAGAGGAGAGCTGGAAATTTTTTTTAAAAAATCCTGTTGATGATTACTTAAACAGAAAAAAAAGAAAGATTTCAAGTCAGTCTTTAAAAATAGAGGCCTTTCTTAACTGTTTCAAAAATAAGACTGTTTCTGATAGAGTGGCCTGAAAAAGGTACTGGCACTAGAGACAAACAAACTGCGCTCTCCATCCCAGGTGAAGGGGTCCTTTCAACAAATCAGCATTGACATTTATATGACCACAGAGTTGCATGAGTAACCAGGGGGCTGGTACCACTTCTCTCCCAGAGGAGGCGGACTTCGGGGGCTGTGGTAAACAAATACCTTCCATCCTACAGTAATTCTCCCCTGGCAGCTGGGGTGATCTATAAGACAGGAACCTCAGTCCTCAGCCTCCCTCTCTAAGAAACTGTTTCTTTTGGCAGATTTCCTGGTCCCTATTAGAAATATTTCTCATGCGGTTTAGCAGTAGTGGGATGCGGTAGGAGAAAGCCACTCCAAAATTTCCGTCTTTCATCCAGGCTTAGAAATATGTTGCCTCATTTTCATCCAAAATTTGTTGGTTTTATTGGATGCCCAATTTCTTCCTTCTTTCCTGTCATGAAACTGAAGTCACCTCTTCCAGCTATAGACGGGCAGCACAGTTCCTGCCTTACGGGCCAGAGTGCTGTAAGATTCTCAGGGGATTCAAATCACAAGTGGTGTCAGCTTCCAAGGAAGAGAGTGACAGCTGGGAGAAGCTCTAGTCTGTCTGTCTGTCTTTCTATTTGTCTGTCTCTCTTTTCACATGGGAAAAGAACTGTGTGGTCCACAGTGACATGTGACATTGGTCTAAATCCCTATGGAAGTCCATGATTCATTCTATTTTCATCCCCCAGCTAAATGATCATACAGCCAGAACTAATTAATGAAAATCTTATCCATTAGACTGTAGGACTCTGGTCATATTTGTTTCACTTGACATTATATTTCTAGGGTCTGGCACAGGGCCTAGCACATAGTAGATGCTCAAGAAAAATTTGCTGAACAGTTGAACAAATAATTTAAATATACTACTCACACTGTTTTGTGATATTTTTTTCTGCTTCTCTTTGAATTCTGAGATCTTTTGAGAAAGCCATTGGAGACAGGCAATAAACGTGCGATGAATCAATGAATGCATGAAGAAATTGGTAAGGTGGGATAGAACGCTGGGTACTTGAAAGCAGTGCAGTAAGTAAAGGTCCTATTACGTTTAGATTCTGTCCTCTGTCTCTACTCCCAAAATGACTTTATTTTATTTTTTTAACGACAGGATCTGGCTCTTTCACCCAGGCTGGAATGCAGTGGTATCATCATAGCTCACTGCAGTCAAATGGCTCTTGTACGGTTACATCTCTCCTGGTTACCATTAAGATGTAGGTATTTACCTACAGTCAGATTGGCCACCCACTCTTTCATTAACATCTACGTTCTCAAGTCATCCATTATTGATCTATGGCCTGAATGTCTCATCAGTGTGGTTAACACACTAATAGGGTATTTGTTGAGTCTGCCACCGTGAAAAACTGCACTGATGTTTACTTTTTAAATCCGAAAACTGTTATCATTTTGCCATCTGGAGAATCCCTTTGAGAGGCTTTGGAGTCTGCACTTGGCCTTCTCCATATTCAGATTCAAGTGGTGAACATGTTTTTAAAATTTATTGTGTTTTCAGATGTCATGGGAAGACATCTTGAAAGGAACCCTGAAGAATTAGTGATTGAAAAGGTTACTAAATTTAAGCTATCAGCAACCCCTTAAAGCATCTGCTGAGTGAACAGGAACTCTGAACTGTGAGCTTGGCTTTTCTATTTTTAATACAAAGACTGACCTTTAGTCAAAGAAAGGTACAAACACTCCTCACCACACACACACCAACAA